AAAAACCGACCTGGTTTCAGCCTCAGCGCTGAAACCAGGTCGGTTTTTGAAAAAAACTCTCCGAAACTTCACGGGAGTTGAACTCCCGTGAAGTTTCGTAGTTCAAAAAACTTCACGGGAGTTCAACTCCCGTGAAGTTTCACAGTTCAATTTTTTTTTTTGCTCTCCGAAACTTCACGGGAGTTGAACTCCCGTGAAGTTTCGTAGTTCAAAAAACTTCACGGGAGTTCAACTCCCGTGAAGTTTCGGAGAGTTTTTTTTAAAAACCGACCTGGTTTCAGCACTGAGGCTGAAACCAGGTCGGTTTCTCTAAATAAATGTGAAACGGGTCTTTTTTTGGGAATAAAAGTCCAAATAGGTTGGTTTTGAAAATTTGTCCGGAGGAATTCATTTTAACTCTTTGTTACCTTACATAATAGGGTTTTGTTCATGAACCCAAAAGTTCATCACAACTTATTTTCGGTCCAACCCTATCATGTAAAACTAAATCATGATAAATTTAAAAGCATACAAACCCCTATCTGAATAAATCATTCATTTGGAGTCTTATCTTACACTTGAATTATAAATTTTTTTTTCTTATAAGTCCATTTAAAGTACTCAGAAAGTGATAAACTTGAAGTCGAGAGTAAGTAGGGATTAATTTAATTGTTCAAGAAGTAAAGTGTTACGAAAATATTTTTTACAGTTATCCAATAAAAATAGTTCCTGATGTAAGAAATGATAAAACTAATAGTCTAGAAGACGAGGAACATTTCAGTGTAGGACCATTTTAACAATAATTCGGTATGAGAATTTTTTTAGTTTAAAAGTAATCTTGAAAGTGGATAAGCTCTAAATTAAATAAATGAAATGAAACTTGGAGTTTACAGACAGAAAAAACCCTATAATAATGGGACACTCCAGTAGTGGGGTCATTGTTTAAACATTATGTAAAAAAAAAACTCAAGAAGCTTTAGCTGAATTGATAAGCTGCATATGAGTATTACTCTAAGATTTCAGGTTTGATTCTTTTGTGAAGCACTCACAGAAGTTTAATTTCTTGAAATACATGAGGCCATGTGTTGGGGGTGTCTTTTAACTACGTCTTAAGAGTTGGTACTGTTGTGCACGTCGCGGAAGCGTGACAACCAAACGGGCATGCTTCGAGAACCAAATCAAATTAACGTCGAGATAAAGGCCAAACAAATCAAAACAACGGCACAAATCCAAATACAATAGTTTTACGTGGTTTGACAATTGCCTACGTCCACGGGGCAAGAAGGGGATGAGGTTTTCACTAATAGAGAAAGAGTACAAACTGAGATTACAAATCACTCGAAGGAACAAACTAATCTCACCAACAAGCTCTTAATCTCTCCAAACAAAACCCTAAACAAATAGCTCAGAAAATACCTCTTTTCTGTGCTCCAATTATCCCCAATTTTTCTTCTCCTCCAATTTTCTCTTCCAATTGTTCCATATATATAGAAATCCTAAAATCATAAACATACTAGGAATTCTAAACCAAAACCAAATCAAATTAGGAATCCTAATAACCTATTACCAAAATAGATTAGGAATCCTAATAACCTCATGTTACCAAAATAGACTAGGAATCCTAATAACCTCATGTTACCAAAATAGATTAGAAATTCTCTATCCAACAATTCTTCACCTCGACGAAGTTTTCCCAAAACTGAGCCGACACCGACCAAACCAAATGCCTCACTTGTTGCGTCCAGTGCGAAGTGAAACGATCCACAACAACGGACTCAATCCACAACAAGTCGAGACCCAAATGGGAGTGCGAACACTCACCCAAACGTCGGTATCTACTCACCAAATCGGCTGCATCAAAACTGACTGCCTACGTATCCTCTTGTCCAAGGAATCAAGCATTCACGTAGTTCACCCAAATGGCCTCCAAATGCCTCAATCCACTAGAAGAGTTCGAATCAAGCATTCACGTAGTTCACCCAAATGGCCTCCAAATGCCTCAATCCACTAGAAGAGTTCGCAACCTTTCTCTAATATCACTATCAAGTTTACGGCTGATAGCACCTCCAATGGCTCCAAATTGAACTAATCCAAACATCTCCACCTGAGATGAACCAATGGCCATATCCAGACTACATCCATCAGTTATACTCGAATCAATCAACCTATCATCTGCATCCAAATCAACACAATTCCTAATCTGTGTCACATCAGCTGGAATCCCAAATGATGCAGTATGATCTGGAGTTTCCTCCCAATGTGGAGTAGCATCACTCTCCACCTGCCGAGAGTCAAACGTGACATACCTGCTCAGAACAAAGTCAGAAGCCAATACCTGATAACCAAACCCGCCTCTGAATCCCAAATGTGCTATCGGATCAAATCTCACATCCACGATGTGACCGAGTGCTGGGTAGCCAAACATCCGACGTAACCCAAAATCTGAAGCAGCTCCACCAGATCCCATATCTATATATGCAGCAGTCGGCAACCTATACATGAGACGGCCCAAACATGTCATAGTCTGCACACCAATGCCAATGCTTGACATCAAACGCCGATCCTTCTCCAGAAAGGAATAGCTACCCAAATCTGCCATCTCGCCTTGTCGCCTCAAAGTTTCCACACCAATGAAGTGTGTCCTATTGTCGTGAGCTCGACACAAATGCAAGAAAGAACCCCTACCATAATCAGAACGTCGGGTTACCTTTCTACCAACACACTTCCTCCATCTGTTGCGGGCTTCTAGGACTTCACACCAACGGGATTTGGTTGCAACCCACCAATGCCTAGAGCAATCCTCAACTGCGGAAACCAAAATATCAATTTACCTTCCAATGATGCCTCTTTGGAAGGCCCCTAAATGTCTGAATGAACACCAAATAGAAGACCCTTCAATCATCAAATAGAAGTGCCAAACTCCACCTCGGTCTCCTTGCTCATACCAACGTGCTCAAAAGGACTTTAATATGCAGGTCAAGGGCACTTCTCAATAATCCAATGCACCGTATCAATAAACAAATAACCCAGCCTCAAATCCTTCTATCTCGGCCAACTATCTCAAAGCACCAACAAATGAAGAATAGATCCAAACTGATAAAGGAGAGAATTTTACCTCCAAATGAAACCCTAACAAGAGTCTCCAAACGATCTCACCCCGCACGACGGCAACGAGATCCACAAATAGGAAAAATCTCACCTTTATCTCCAAACGAAGCCCTCGAAGAGCCTCCAAAGCGATCTACTCCTCCAAATAGCCCAAGCACCAACAAACCAATGCGGAATAAACGAAGAATAGATCCAAACTAAAAAAGATAGAGTCTTTACCAAAAATATCTCACCTTTCTCACCAAACGAAGCCCTAGTCGAACTTCCAAATTGATCTACTCCTCCAAATAGCCCAAGCGTAGCCCGAGCTCTGATACCACTTGTTGTGCGCGGCGGAAATTTTGGCAACACCTCCGGTGCGCAATGTGCACAACAAGAGATTAGATTACAATAAAATTCTCGTTTCTCAAAGGAAACAAGAACCAAAAACCAGATATCTCATCAAAGTGAGATATCAGCTCTTCCTCTCGTCAGCTCTAAGACTGCGCGTCGAGGGAACCTACAAGCTATTACAAATCACGGCAAGAATACAAAATTTTACGTGGTTCGGCAAATAGCCTACGTCCACGGGGCAAGGAGGGGGAGATCTACTATTAGAGGGAGAGATACAATTGGGGTTTACAATCTCACAAATAAAACCCTCTCACAAACTCTCAGATCCCTCACACAAATACTCTCTCAAAGGGATGCACAAAACCCTAAAAGGGAATACACCAAATCTCCTCAACACTGTTTTATCCTTTTTTTCTATTTCTCCGCAGCCTCAAACATCTGACTGCAGGAACCAGACGAAAAATAAAAAACACAGCCCTCAATTGCACTTCGTAGCCGCCAACAAAAAGAATCCTTCTTTGCACGCTCGTGTTTTTCTCCTTCAGCCTTCGTACCATGGGAAAGTTCGAGTCGTCGAAGAAAAAAAAAGTGAGAGACTTGGGGACGCGGCTGGATGAATCAAGATGGAAAACGAGCTCATGTTCATTAGATAGTTACGAATAAACAATTTATGGATATATATTCCGTCGTATTATATGTGATGATTGTAAGAGGAAATGGACTCAGGTCCTTCAAGCCAAAAGGATTTGTTTTTGTTGCTCGCCTTGAAGCTTCTCGTGAAGTGTCGACACAGGGGTATTCTGGGAAGAAATGAAAATTTCCAGTCTTTCTACACGTGCTTAATTATTTTAAATTATTAGAGAGAGGAGGACTCGGTTGAGTCATTGGTTTGGGATTTTGGCCGATGAAGGAAGATGGATAATTGAGCTGCGTTCATTTGGACGGTTTAAAATTATGTTTTCGTACTTTATTGTATGTAAAA